GCGTCCCCTCCCGCGCCTGCCGCGGGGGCGGCACCGGCTCCCGCTCCCGGCGTTTTCTGCAGTGCCAGGGAGGGAGGGTCCCCGATGAAGCCTCCGCAGGCACCAGGGAGTCGTTTCCTCACTGCAGCCGTTCCTGGAGCAAACTGCCCCGCAGGGAAAAGCAGCCCTGGAAAAGCAGCACACGGGGGCTCGGCTCCTCATTGCTCCCCGCTCCTGGCAACCAGGAGCTGCTGTTTATTGTCTTCATCCTCCCGTCACCCGGCAGAAAGGCCCGGCCGGTCTCTCCGGCTCCTCCAAGCAGGAACCAGTTCCCAGGTGCCACTGCAGCCGTTCCTGGAGCAAACTGCCCCGCAGGGAAAAGCAGCCCTGGAAAAGCAGCACACGGGGGCTCGGCTCCTCATTGCTCCCCGCTCCTGGCAACCAGGAGCTGCTGTTTATTGTCTTCATCCTCCCGTCACCCGGCAGAAAGGCCCGGCCGGTCTCTCCGGCTCCTCCAAGCAGGAACCAGTTCCCAGGTGCGGAGAGCGGCTCCCGGGGAAGAGCAGAAGTTCCCAGGTGCGGAGAGCGGCTCCCGGGGAAAACCAGACACCTTTTCCTGGGGCAAGCGCCGCTGCGGGCCCCGCGCGCGCAGCACAGACCTGTTTTCCCAGTCAGACATTTCTGAGCGCTGATCCAACCCCGCCTCGGTGCCGAGGCCGGACCGCGGAGGCTGCCGGAGCTGCAGCTCGGGATGGGGGGAATGGGAGAGAAGCCCTCCTGGATTAACACCATCCCCTTGGACTCCCAGCAGAGCCCAAAACGGGATCTCCTGCTTGTGCAGGAAAGCTGCCAGGCTTCCATTCCCATGGAGATGCGCGATTCCCATGGAGTCGGGGGGTTCCCACGTCTGTGCGATAAGGTCTGGGTTTGTCTACACCAACAGTGACACAGGGACCCGCGCGCGTCATCCCCACGGCCCCAGGTCCCGCTCCTGGCACCGGGGCAGCCTCCCGCAGGCAGGGCCGGGACGAGAAGGGCCATTTCTTTGAGATATGAAAGGAAAAAATCCTCTCCCTGTGTAACCGCATCCGCGCGGGCCCTGCGCTGGCCACCCCGGCCTGGGCCCGACGCAGCGGCGTCCTGTGTCCTCCCACCGGGCAGGACGAGGTTCTCCCAGGCTTCCCGGGGCTCAGAGCCCCAATCCAAGCGTGACTTGGCTTTGCCATGGTGCTGCTCCTGTCCCGCAGCGCCTGCCGGCCCCGCAGAACGGGCAAACGCTCGGAGCATCGGCAGAGCCGCCCGGCTCCCTGCCGCGCTCCAGGGACACGGCCACTCGGTGCCAGCCCAGCAAGGCAGAGGGGACAACCTGGAAGCGTCACCCGGACCCGGCAGCCTGGATTCAGGGCAGAGAGAACAACCTGGAAGCGTCACCCGGACGCTGCAGCCTGGATTCCCAGCGGCCGCCGCTCAGCGCTCCCGGCTGCCGGGGTACGGAGGGGAGCAGAATCCTTCTCCCGTCTCCGCCGGAGCAGCCGGAGCTGCTGACTGCAAAAGGCAGCACAAAGTGAACCGCGACGCTCCCTTCCCCATGAGAGCGGCCGTGGATCATCGGTGTGTCCGTGGTGCTCCCGCAAGGACCCGGGCACTGCTGGTCTCAGTGACACGTGGTGGCCGCACGAGCGAGCCGAGGCGCCGCGCCGCGCGGGCGCTGCGCCGTGAGCTCCGATCCGTGCACGGAGCAGCTCGGGATGCCCCAGGGGAGCGGGAAGGGCAGCTCGAGGGTGTTCCCTGCTCCCTGCAAAGCAAATCCCTGCGCGTTCCCGGGTCCGGCTGCTCCACCCCCAG